AAAAGAAAACTGATCTCATTTTTTTCCTTTTTTTTCCTTCTTAACGTAGATACTAGGAATTCTGAATAACTTCTACAGCTGCTTCAGCTTCTTCTCAGGAACCCGCACGACACCACAGGCCTACTGTCAGTGGTGCCTGTGTCCCTGCATCTCCCTCAGACAAGCCACGAGGCCTCAGCTCCCCACGGAGACTTTACACTGAGCAGTGCTAGTCTGAAAGTAGCTAATAAGGAGATCTCAAGAAAGCCAATAACTGCAAACTGGAGCTTAGAATAATGCCAGTGCTACTAATGGGTAGAACCTTGAACACCCTGTCTTCTGAAGAATGAAAAACGAAGAACTCATTATCAACCACATTAACAACTTATTTAACATTTGAAAGTTTAAGAACCAAAACAACTTGCTGTTTAGAAGTGGGGGAGCGGCTGGGCATTGGTGGCTCACGCCTGTAATCCTAGCACTCTGGGAGGCGAGGTGGGAGGACGGTTCAAAGGTCGAAAAAAAAGGAGTTCGAGACCCCCAGCCTGAGCCAAGAGTGAGGCAATCCGTCCCTCTACCTAAAAAACAAAGAAATAATTGGCCAATAAAAATATATAGAAAAACTTGGCCCTGGCATGAGTGGCCGCATGCATGTAGTCCGCAGCTACTCAGGAGGCTGAGGCCAGAGATTGCTTGAGCCCAGGAGTTTTGAGGTTGCTGTGAGCTGGGGGCAGATGCCCATGCGCACTCTAGCCCGGGCAACAAGAATGAGACTCTGTCTTAAAAAAAAAAAAAAAAAGTGGGGGGGGGCAGTAGTTTGTCACTTTTCATTAAAGCCTTTTCTGCAGATCTTTTTATTTTTTTTAGAGAGAGGGTCTCACTCTGTCACCCAGGCTGGAGTGCGGTGGCGTGAGCACAGCTCACTGCAGCCTCCAACTCCTGGGGTCAAGTGATCCTCCTGTCTCAGCCTCCCAAAGTGCTGGGACTCTAGGCGTGAGCCATCCCCGTGCCTTCTAATATGTTTTCTTTAGTCTAGTGTATTCAGAGTATTACCTCTTGGGGTGTAATCGACGTGAAAGCTTATTATCGAGTTATGGTGCCTTTTCATTGGTGGTCAGTTAGTTTTTGAAATCAGTTGCATCTTTCACTCTTATAGCACATCTCAGTTGTCAGATTTCAGATGCTGAAGAGTCAGGTGTGATTCGTGGCTCCGGTTGGGCAGGAAGGGTCCTGGCCACGCACAAGTGGCTGGTGGAATTGTGGTGGGGGATGGCTATCTCCACCCTCCTGCCTGTTCCCAGCTCAGACCCTTTATAGGCCCCTTTCTCATCCCCTTGCTGTGAGACAGAGCCCTCAGCCTCTGCATGCTATAAGGTCCCCACGCGTCCCCATTGCCTCGGAGGGGAAGGCTGAGGAAAGGTAGGTCTCCACTTGCTAAGGGTGGGCAGATGAGATGTGCAGCCCACTTCGATGTCCCGTTACTAATCAGTAACGCGTGGCATCTGTCATCCTCTTGGTACAAGGTACAAGAAGCTGGAAGACCTTCTGGAGAAGAGCTTTTCTCTGGTCAAGATGCCATCTTTGCAGCCAGTGGTGATGTGTGTCATGAAGCACCTGCCCAAGGTAAGAGTCAAGGGCCGGTCTCCTGCCTCCCTTTGGTTGGTGGAAGTAGCATTGTGCACGTGGTCCAGGCAGCTGCTTAGCTCCAAGGAGGTTTGATATGCTGCCGTCCCAGTGAAGCTCTGTCCTGGCTTCTGCCAGATAAGCCACATGGAGACTGAAGCTTGGCACTTGAGTCGGAGTTGGGGCCCTTTCTGGGAAAGAGCTGTTGGTATTCAGCATGTCATTCCCACCTACTAGGGCCTGCGGTGCCAGTCATAGATGCCCCTATCCGGTGGAGCTGGGCTCGAGGCAATCTCTGTGGCCTGTCTTGACGGAGACGCAGGGACACAGACGACTCACAGGAGGCCTGTGGTGTCTGTCGTGCAGGTTCCAGAGAAGAAGCTGAAGCTGGTGATGGCTGACAAGGAGCTGTACCGAGCCTGCGCCGTGGAGGTGAAGCGGCAGATCTGGCAAGACAACCAGGCCCTGTTTGGGGACGAGGTCTCCCCACTGCTGAAGCAGTACATCCTGGAGAAGGAGAGTGGGCTCTTCAGCACGGAGCTCTCCGTCCTGCACAACTTCTTCAGTCCTTCCCCCAAGACCAGGCGCCAGGGCGAGGTGAGGGAGGGGCGAGGACCTGTGGCAGCCCCTTCAGCTGCCTGGAGAGTGACTCCTCGCTGTCCTCACATGTTTGGGCCGTTCTGCTCCTGAAGGAGTGGGCTTGTACGCGTGGCCAGAGAGAAGCTTTGTGATTTCTGTGTTTGTGTGTGTTTTGCTTTACAAAAAGTGACATGTGAAGAATGTTAAAATCTGCAGAAAGGCTTTTAATGAAAAGTGACAACTACTGCCCCCCCCACTTTTTTTTTTTTAAGACAGAGTCTCATTCTGTTGCCCGGGCTAGAGTGCCATGGCATCTGCCCAGCTCACAGCAACCTCAACTCCTGGGCTCAAGCAATCCTCTGCCTCAGCCTCCTGAGTAGCTGGGACTACAGGCATGCGCCACCATGCCCAGCCAAGTTTTTCTATATATTTTTAGTTGGCCAATTAATTTCTTTCTTTTTATAGTAGAGACGGGGCCTCACTCTTGCTCAGGCTGGTCTCGAACTCCTGACCTTGAACGATCCTCCCACCTCGGCCTCCCAGAGTGCTAGGATTACAGGCGTGAGCCACCATGCCCAGCCGCTCTCCCCCACTTCTAAACAGCAAGTTGTTTGATTCTTAAACTTTCAAATGGTTAAATAAGTTGTTAATGTGGTTGAGAATGAGTTCTTCGTTTTTCATTCTTCAGAAGACAGGGTGTTCAAGGTTCTACCCATTAGTAGCACTGGCATTATTCTAAGCTCCAGTTTGCAGTTATTGGCTTTCTTCATATTGAGATCTCCTAATTAGCTACTTTGAGATTAGCACTGCTCAGTGTAAAGTCTCCGTGGGGAGCTGAGGCCTCGTGGCTTGTCTGAGGGAGATGCAGGGACACAGGCACCACTGACAGTAGGCCTGTGGTGTCGTGCGGGTTCCTGAGAAGAAGCTGAAGCAGCTGTAGAAGTTATTCAGAATTTCCTAGTATCTACGTTAAGAAGGAAAAAAAAGGAAAAAAATGAGATCAGTTTTCTTTCTTTTTATTTTTTTTAGAGAGAGGGTCTCACTCTGTCACCCAGGCTGGAGTGCGGTGGCGTGAGCACAGCTCACTGCAGCCTCCAACTCCTGGGGTCAAGTGATCCTCCTGTCTCAGCCTCCCAAAGTGCTGGGACTCCAGGGTGGAGCATCCCCGTGCCTTCTAATATGCTTTCTTTAGTTAGTGTATTCAGAGTATTACCTCTTGGGGGTGTAATCGACGTGAAAGCTTATTATCGAGTTATGGTGCCTTTTCATTGGTGGTCAGTTAGTTTTTTTTTTTTTTTTTTTTTTTTTTTTGAGACAGAGTCTCGTTTGTTGCCCAGGCT